GACTGCTGTAATCATGACCGAGATGTTTTCTAGTACACAATCATATAACATCTACCTTGCATGGCGCCAGATATATATATATATAGGATATCGCTAGGATACGGATAGCGCTTGTTGTACATACGGACGATCTACTCATTATAAAAGAAAGCTTTGATGAAAGTTTGCTAAGAATACCGTGTAGCGTGAAGACACTTATGAATTTTATATTGACCAGTATTACCATGAATATAGTTGTAAAATGATTAAATTGGGATAATGTTTGTTTAAAAAAGATCGGAAACCTCTTTAACAATGGAATACCAAAATAACAAAATAACAACAGGGATAATTATTGCGCTTATTCAACTGTAAATCTCTTGTCGTACATAATGCATAGTGTGTGTATAAGCTCCCATTCATGACGCGTCTGCACAGCCAAAGTATCACGACGTGCTAGGTCGCCTTGGTCGTGAATGAATTAGCAGAACTAGCGAATTGTTTAAAACATTTCAGGGAAGTTGACTTATTACCGTAAGTGTTATATTGATGAATGAATTAGCAGAACTAGCGAATTGTTTAAAACATTTCAGGGAAGTTGACTTATTACCGTAAGTGTTATATTTATTCCATGTACCAATCCATCTACAGTTGTAAACAAATAATAAGGATTTCACATTTCAGATTTTTGTAGGTATGTTTTTTGCTTAATGATATAGACAGAGGGCACTGCTTTTATGCATTTAATAACAGGTATGTATTAAATATCACTTGGAAGGTTATGCAATTTTCTTTGTAATAAACTGTTACTATTTGTTATGGGAATCTATTCTATGGATTTCACATTTTCTCTCGAGAATCAACCACATTTCCCCGTTGGTGGACAGTAAGCTGAACTTCACATTGTTTCGTGATATATTACCTAGAATTATAGTAATGGCGACTTAACCGTCTCCTGTTATATTTCCATGCCCCATTAGACTTAAACTTTGTCTGTCATATGTTGTAGCAAAACATATAAAAAGTATGGTATTTTTCAACCAGTTTGCAAAATTTAAATCGAATCTATCCATATGAATTATAGTTCATTGAAATCAAATTTATTGAAGTGGTATAAAGATATTTTTCCTGTAAATTATCGAATTTTATCAATTTGATGAAAACTTTATCTGAACGCAGTGACAGATATCAAAGACATATTTTTATACTGAAATTTTCTTTTTTGGAATTGACCGATCAGAATGTTATTGTCTATTCACTTCATTCACAGCCACAGATTTTCTGTTCAGATACAGATGAAGTGACGGTACAATAGTGTGTTGTTTACTTACTACGAATATTAAAGTATTATATTACATATACAATTTGTACCATTAAGGCAAGGATCTTACCAAATGAAGACAGAAAACGCTCTAATTGCGCTAAGCAGCTCATTCAAAATGGCTCGGAGCCTTGTTGTCAAGTATGACGTGCTTAGAATATGGCACCAAATCTAACGCTATTATATTCCAAAATATTTTGATGCAGGACTATTTTTTTGTTGTTGGTAGTTTTGAAATATATTACATTTAACGGTATTTAGGTGGAATATCATATACATTAAACTGGTAGGGCAGAATATGCCGATAATTTCACTCGAGCTTCACACTTGTGAAAAAGATCGGGTTTTCCATTTAGCCATAAAATATCCTCTAGTGCTCTCTTTGACTGTACAAACCTTCATTGAAGCCCCTATATGAGCCATTCTGGTAATGACACCAATAATAATGAGGTGGCATGTGTCTATTTAGCTGTTCACGGTATCAGATATCTTACGTTAGAGAGCGACATTCCTATTCCCTCACGGAAATGTTAGATATGTACATTATAAGCTCTTCCGTGTGATGATATCCAATCACATCTGGAGTCAGTTGACCAACTACTGTTGGAGAAATACGTGAAGTACAGATAAACAACATCAAACTCTAGCCATGTCTTGTTACATCCCTCAGATACCCTCAAACACACGGCAGAGTCTAAAAACTGAGCAAACATTAGAACAACTCCATTAAGGTTATTCATATGGCGGAAGTTGGCATTTCTGTCACTTATTAACGAGAAAAAAATCCATCTGTTTGTAGCTGATATGAGTGGTATGGTGAAGTGCGATAGAGAGGTCGGAGTTAGTCAACGATAGTTAAACGCTACAGCGAACAAAACGTATCTTGTTTTATTATTTAACAGTGTTTGTGATATTTATCTTTTATTAATGCTAGAATCGAGTTTGTCTAGACGTTTTAGATTTAAAAACAATATTGTAACATGATTTGATTTCATCAATAAAAGAAGATATGGAAAATCATCATGGATTACATGGTTATCTGTTTGTCCATACAAAACTCGAATAAAATAGCATGGGTTTTACGACACTTATCATTCACAACATAGTTTAAATACAAATAGATATTTCACGTCAGAATGAAATACATTTCTGTGAAATTTGTCGGATTTGAATATTTTCTGTTTACTCATAAAATATCAATTCATTTAAGCAGTTTCTTTATCAAATAATTGACGCCATGAACAGCGATGTACGGAAGGTAGCAACTTAATAACGCACTATGATATCTAGTCCGTATTCCGTAGTTTAAGACACTCGTTTATTGACTATTAAATGCAGGTAGGTTTTTCTATTCAATGTTTCTTTTACCTTCATCCCTTGACAATGTTCTTTTGTATTTTTCTTGACAACACATGTTTATTAATATTTGTTTTCCTGACATCGTTGTTAAAAAACTTCATAACCTGCTGTGCCCAAGTTAACATGTTTCCTTGAGATGGTGATTTAGACTTGCCCTGTAGTTACCTAATTTGTTGCTAGGCGTATAACAGCAGTCAGTCCAACTATTCCCATGCCTGCGTGCTAATATAACCTACAGTTTTATATCCCTGTATGAAACATGGAGGGGGTTGTTTTGGTGGCGCCCGTGAAATTTGGTCGGAGGTGCGTCCCTGTTGTATGTCGAACATTATTCCCTTTTTGTCAAACACTTTTGAATGTTTAAGTTGTGACCATTAGTTAATTTGTAAATAAACAATCTAGTTAACACGGAATTACCTATTTATCAGGGATTATCTCTAAACACGGATTATTTATTAACATGTGATCATCTGTAAACACGGATTATCTGTTAACATGTGATCATCTGTAAACACGGATTATCTGTTAACATGTGATCATCTGTAAACATGGATTATCTGTTAACATGTGATCATCTGTAAACACGGATCATCTGTAAACACGGATTATCTGTTAACATGTGATCATCTGTAAACACGGATCATCTGTAAACACGGATTATCTGTTAACATGTGATCATCTGTAAATACGGGCTTATCTGTTAACATGTGGTCATCTGTCAACACGGGATTATCTATAAACATGTGATCATCTGTAAACACACGAGATTATCTGTTAACATTGGTCAACTGTAAACACACTGGAGTATATGTTAACACGGGATAATCTGTCAACATGGGATTATCTGTTAAAATGGGATTATCTAAACACAGGATTATCTATTAACATGTGATCATCTGTAAACACACGAGATTATTTGTTAATATAGGTCAACTGTAAACACACGGAACTATCTGTTAACATGGGTCAACTGTAAACACACGGGATTCTCTGTTAACATAGGTCAACTGTAAACACACGGAATTATCTGTTAACATGGGTCAACTGTAAACACACGGGATTATCTGTTAACATAGGTCAACTGTAAACACACGGAATTATCTATTAACATGTGATCATCTGTAAACACACGAGATTATTTGTTAATATAGGTCAACTGTAAACACACGGAACTATCTGTTAACATGGGTCAACTGTAAACACACGGGATTATCTGTTAGCATTGGTCAACTGTAAACACACGGGATTCTCTGTTAACATGGGTCAACTGTAAACACACGGGATTATCGGTTAACATGGGTCAACTGTAAACACACTCACTGTAGCACGAGTTTACTTCATACTTATATTAATATAATATCGAATTAAATGTGAACAGTGATACTTTCGTTACATCGACTGGAGTGTGAACATGTTATGGTCAAATATAGCATTCCTATTTGTTATTTTTCACACTGTCAAATATCCCCTTTATTTCCGTATTATTGCACTGTTATACATGTAATAATTTAGTTTAGCATTTAACAAGAAGTTTATTACAAACTTCTTTACATATGGAAAGTGAAGAGACCCACCACGGATTTAATGGGAATCATGTGTCGCTAGATATCACAATATATCATGTTGATTAAAGTGAAATGTAGCGTTTTTGCGTACATGTACAGGTGATTAAGTAGTTCTAGTGGAGGAAAATAGTCATTTATATCATAGTATGCACTTATAAAAGGTTTGTGGAATGCTAATAACCTTGTGTTCTAACAGATACCAACATTATATTTTGAGAGTGCGCTTACTGTTTTTCAATAATCTTAGCGAGAAAAATTCTAGCAAGTTCACTCAATATACTTTAGGTTTCTAAATTATATTTCAAATTTAGCGATTTATATGAATTAATTTTTATTTAAACAGTCCGTTTATTGATGAATTTTCTCTTCATAATATTTTGCTAATTTGGCAGAATAGAAAGACAATAATTCATCTCTTGTTTTTTAATTTTAAAACAATTGCCACGAGTGACATTTCAGTAAGATAACTTTACTCACTAGTCCTCCTTCAACAAATCACTGAATCCAGACATCAATGTTCTTTCTTTGTTTTATTTCTTCTTATATTGTAAATAATGTTTCCATTGCGATGTAAAATATTTTTTCATCCAAATAAAAGCTAAGACATCTTAAACGTCACAAAACCATTAGTATAAAACCACGTGCTCGAGAAATAATCATTTTTCTGCACCTCACGTGGCAGTAGTCATGTTCTCCTCCTTCAGATATTAAAGGATGAGTTTGTATGACACTTGAATAATACCATTGATATAATTTAAAAAAAACTTTTCTCGCAGGATTCTGAGTGAATTTCAAAATGGCAGTCAACATACCAGGATTGGTGGCGATCGCTGTCTTCTACATGGCGATCCTTGCGTTTGGAATTTTTATTGGACGGCGTAAGAATAAGACCGGCACTGCTGATGAGTTGTTCTTGGCTAATCGGAGCTTCGGGTTGGTTGTGGCCAGTTTGACAACTGCAGGTATTTTTGTATTTCTCATTTGTCATAAACATAACACTACAGGCGACAAGAAATGATAACAACCCAAAGTGAACATTATTTTGTATTCAAGCTTGGTTTAGAAGGCTTCTATAAGCATTTCTTTTTGCAATCGGATCAACACAAGTGACCTTGCAAATAGAAAATACATCGAAGTCATTAATGCATAAAGTTTTATTGCGAATTTATATTTTTGTCTCTTTTTTAATCTTTGTGCTTCATTTGTTCCCTGTGATCATGCATGCGAAGTCTAAATTCACATCCGATATATAGACACATTTTGTAATGTTTTTAAATCTGATTTCTGTAAATCTGTTTGTAAACCATCGAAAAAAATCACTATGATCGTATCATCACAGGAAGCATCGATAGAAAAAATATAGATACGAACAAGGATTGTTTTTTATTATTGATGAAAGATACATCGAATCATACCGTCGTCATTTTACCAAAGCTGTCGTCATACGACCTTAGGTGTTATCATATGACCTTAGTTAACATTATATGAATTTAGTGGGGACATAAAACGACAACCAAATAGACAAGATCAAACAGTCTTAATGTTTTAAACAATTAATCAGCTTTGTGAAAAGGTTCTATGCTGGGATATAAGAATGTGAAAATTTGATAAAAATAGAGGTGATGTTTGACAATAGCTTCACTAAAATGATGCCAGCCTCATTACTAATTTTATAATATGTCACGTTTGCTTGAATTTGAAATACAATATCATTCATTCTAATCTTCCTTAATATTTATTGTTTTCATAGCGAGCATGGTAGGAGGGGGATATGTGAATGGCACGGCGGAGGTGATAGGGAGGGACGGCATGCTATGGACAATCGGACCAATAGGTTACAACATTGGCATGGCGTTAGGTAAGTCAATACGTCACATGGTCGTAAGCTGTAAGGTGATGAAATGACAACATTGTAAAAGATTACCAGGCAGCAGTCAAAACTGCATCTTCCCAAAAGGAGTTTCTAACGCATTGGCAATGATTGCAGCTTCAGTCGTGATTACTTTTTCAATTTGAATTTCTATAATTGTCTTGTATTCTCAATATTTTAAATATTATCTTTGTTAAACTAATTTCAAGGAAAATCAATATTTAAATTTTTAAAAACCCCATCAGTAATAATAATCGTATTGTCAAGATATAACAAAAAGTAAATACTTATAATAATCAACATTCATCTTCTAATATGAATTAGTTTTAATTTTTGCAATACTTATTTGCCAGTGTTTTATCGATTTCGCTGATGACACATTCTTTTTATTTTCTCAACATTTTCAGTTAGTATGATATGATGGAATTGTGCATATAGCTATGAATACGTTATTATCTCGTTTATTATTTCCTTAAAATGAAAATTACAATGTATGACAAGGTAGGATATACATTATATTACGAAAGCTGAGTCAGAGCAATGGATACAGATATGTATGTATCACTTTGTACTTACATTATATGCACACTAAGTAAATATACATAAATTATATTTTATTTTATTTACTCACTAGAGTAAAGTATTAAGAGCAGTTTAAAGATAGTGTTGTATCATTATTGACTTATAATGTACAATAATCTAGTATGTCATTACAGGAGGAATCTTCATTGCGCCAAAGGTTCGTGCTGCTCGTTTCACGACTATAGTTGATCCCTTCCAAAAGAAGTATGGTCCTAAAATGGGTGGACTTCTCTTTATCTCAGAATTCTTCGGGGACGTGTTCTGGGAAGCAGCTATTTTTGGAGCATTAGGTAAATATAATTATGTGGTAACGGCTTTCTGAAACTGAGGTAGAAAAATGGACTTTAATCACCATAATTGTTGTGCGATGCTTTAAAAACTGTTGAGTGTGTCTTTGTGCAGAGACAGGAAATCCCTGTCTGATCTTTTTCTGAAGACTGATTTTCAGGTTGACATTTTGTAGAATTTAAGACCTCGTTTACCTCGTTCTATTATTCAAGTTTTACTGTTTCGGGTCATACCCTAATATTATTTTCTCTTATTGATGATTTACTTCGACTGTGTGATTAAATTGTCAGTCTCTAAACAACAAGATATCATCTTCCTTTTTCTTTACCACAGGCACCACGTTATCGATCGTGCTGGACATCAACATAACAGTTTCTGTCGTCATTTCCGCGTGTGTAGCGGTCATTTATACTTTATTCGGAGGCCTGTATTCCGTGGCCTACACAGATATAGTGCAGCTCCTGCTGATAGTGGTCGGCCTAGTACGTAAACTGCTTTTTTGTGTCAATACTTGTTCTGATTCTTTTTGATAATTTCCTTTGTTTAACCCTTATGTTTATTTTCGCTGTAATACACTTAAGTTTGAAATTAGAGGTGAGAAATGCACGATAAACCTTGTAATTGGTGAAGTACAATAGCAGCAATATGTATGAAGACGGATACATATAGTTAAAGGATGTACTCTTCTGAGGTTTGAATCCAATCAAGTCTCGTTTTAATCCTGTTTAACGACTTTTTGTAATATGTAACAAATTATGATCAAATCTAAAAGGAAATACGCACCTAATAATTGTATAAAAAGTAAATGCCTGTTGTTTGTAGAACGGGTTTTTTCGGTGGCCATTTTGAACTTTTGTATTTCTTGCGCTTCAACGAAAGGTCAAAATTACACTGTTAAAACTGGTTATCAATTAGTATAGGTCCATCACATTGTATCAATTATCAAATTGTATAGGTCAATCACATTGTATCAATTATCAAATTGTAAAGGTCAATCACATTGTATCAATTATCAATTTGTATAGGTCAATCACATTGTATCAATTATCAAATTGTATAGGTCCATCACACGGTATCAATTATCAATTTGTTTAGGTCAATCACATTGTATCAATTATCAATTTGTAAACGTCAATCATATTTTATCTATTATCAAATTGTATAGGTCAATCACATTGTATCAATTATCAATTTGTATAGGTCAATCACATTGTATCATTTATCAATTTGTAAAGGTCAATCACATTGTATCAATTATCAAATTGTATAGGTCAATTACATTGTATCAACTATCAATTTGTAAAGGTCAATCACATTGTATCAATTATCAATTTGTATAGATCCATCACATTGTATCAATGATCAAATTGTATAGATCCATCACATTGTATCAATGATCAAATGGTATAGGTCCATCACATTGTATCAATTATCAATTTGTAAAGGTCAATCACATTGTATCAATGATCAATTTGTATAGGTCAATTACATTGTATCAATTATCAATTGTATAGGTCAATCACATTGTATCAATTATCAAATTGTATAGGTCAATCACATTGTATCAATGATCAATTTTTATAGGTCAATCACATTGTATCAATTATCAATTTGTAAAGGTCAATCACATTGTATCAATTATCAATTTGTAAAGGTCAATCACATTGTAACAATTATTAATTTGTATAGGTCAATCACATTGTATCAATTATCAAATTGTATAGGTCAATCACATTGTATCAATTATCAATTTGTATAGGTCAATCACATTGTATCAATTATCAATTTGTATAGGTCAATCACATTGTATCAATTATCAATTTGTATAGGTCCATCACATTGTATCAATTATCAATTTGTAAAGGTCAATCACATTGTAACAATTATTAATTTGTATAGGTCAATCACATTGTATCAATAATCAAATTGTAAAAGTCAATCACATTGTATCAATTATCAAATTGTATAGGTCAATCACATTGTATCAATTGTCAATTAGTATAGGTCCATCACATTGTATCAATTATCAATTTGTATAGGTCAATCACATTGTATCAATTATCAATTTGTATAGGTCAATCACATTTTATCAGTTATCAATTTGTATAGATCCATTACATTGTATCAATTATCAATTTGTAAAGGTCAATCACATTGTATCAATTATCAATTTATAAAGGTCAATCACATTGTATCAATTATCAATTTGTATAGGTCCATCACATTGTATCAATTATCAAATTGTATAGGTCAATCACATTTTAGCACTTATCAATTTGTATAGGTCCATCACATTGTATCAATTATCAATTTGTACAGGTCAATCGCATTGTATCAATTATCAAATTGTATAGGTCCATCACATGTGTATGTTTCACGTTATCTTTCACGATACAAAGCGGTACATATTGCTGGCGGATGTCTGAGTCCTCTATGTTTGCCGTGGCTTTCCTAGTCCTCTATGTTTGCCGTGGCTTTCCTAGTCCTCGAGGTCTGCCGTAGCTTTCCTAGTCCTCGAGGTTTGCCGTGGCTTTCCTAGTCCTCGAGGTTTGCCGTGGCTTTCCTAGTCCTCGAGGTTTGCCGTGGCTTTCCTAGTCTTCGAGGTTTGCCGTGGCTTTCCTAGTCCTCGAGGTTTGCCGTGGCTTTCCTAGTCCTCGAGGTTTGCCGTGGCTTTGTCTTTGGTGAAGTGGCAGTTTAAAGTTAACCAGTATTCTTCCAATTTTTGAAATCCCTATAAATAAGGGGTTTTATGCACCCCCTTCTGTTTCAACAGTTAGCAAGACCAAATTAGGATTTCCCCTTCCGGCCCCTAGCATCACGGATGAATCTTAGAAGGACGGAACAGCTGGATGTTGCAGTATAACTCATTGTGGTATACTGTATCAGTTGCCAAGTTGTATAGGTGTAATCACATGAGTGATCTTTCAATCGTTACTTTGTGATTACGCATCTGATTCAATTATTTACACTAATTTGCTGTATTGATCATAGTAATCATAGTTATCATAGTAATCTTCCACCATTGGAAATATCGATAGAGATTGTTGCGATTGATATCTGTTTCTGGAAACATTTGGATTTGCGTTAAAATGGAACTGTATTCATAGCGTCAGCATGCAAAGATAAATATCAGGGAAACCGAGGGGATATCCACAGATCCTCAGATAGGACACAATAAACCCCTACCAAACCAGAGTCTAACATTGAATACGTTTTTACTTTGTCGCTTTAAGATTATTTTCCTAGCTATAAATCTTCTTGGACTTTCGTGTTTTTTTTTTATTAACCAATAATCAAAGACGTCTTTAAATGAAGTTTATTCTGATACTTTAATACGAATCTTTTGTCTTTGGTCAACTTACAATATACCGATTGCTGTTTTGCAGGTTCTGGCTGTTCCGTTTGTCCTTGCCAGCCCCGCCGTTGACATGTCCAAGGTTACGACTAGCTGGACGGGACACGTCAAGACCCAACACATTGGATTGTACATTGATACTATCTTTCTGTGTGTCTGTGGGGGTGTACCTTGGCAGGTAATGGTCACGTGACACTGTTTATCAAGTGGATACATATTATTTATTGATAAAGGATTGATTTGCTAGTCCTTTCGATATAATAAAAATACGAAGGTAACTCAATCATACTCCTGTCTCACATTTCCCCGGATAGGACTGAAAAACGTTGGTCCTCTTTATAAATAGTCATTAAGATAGGATTGAATAATAACTGCTCATGTCTTAGTGGTCCATCGGTAAGGATTTGAAATCGCTCTTGTCACAATTGTCCATTGGAAAAGATTTTGATCCCGTGTTTCAATGTTCGTAAAGGACACTGGAAGAAATCCCAATATTTATACAAATGGAGCAAACTCTGATAACCGTTTTACCACCAACAGCATCAACGTCTAAGAACAACACCAATTATATAATTAGGCCAAATATACCTTTTCTTTTATTTCCAAACCGTTGACACAACTATTAGTACCATGTACACAATCCTACAAACGAAATGTAAGTAAATATTTGTGTTGATATGCAGGTACTTTTAGTTGACGATTGTCATTTGAATTGATAACACTTCGTTATGTTTTGTGTAAATTTTACATTGACATTAACCTATTTTTAATGGTAGCCTGTACATAATGTTAATTTACAAAACACTTTTCAATTTCAGGCTTGGTACCAACGCATACTGGCATGTAAATCCCCCGCACTTGCGCAAATTTCCACAGTGGTAGGGGCTGGGATAGCCCTTTTACTGGCAATTCCTCCAGGAATTCTTGGCGTCGCGGGAGCAGCAACAGGTAATGTCAGCTCATTGCAATATTCATGAGTTCAGAATCGAATTATCTCTTTATCCAAGAGTCAAAACAAACTTATCTTTATATCCAATATTTTTAAACCAACCTATCTATCTCCATATCCATGATTTAAGACCACTCATATCTCAATATTCATGATTTAAAAACTAACTTTTCATTATATATCCATGTTTAAGACCAACTTATTTCTTTATCCTAGATATTAAAACCAACACAGTTTTATATCCAAGATTTTTTAATATGAGTAATTAGCGCTGGTCGTACAAATCAGGATACAAATCCGGGTTCAGTTCTTCCAGGTATCAATATTACAATTCCAGTGTGAAACAAAAAGGTCACATATATACATAGCAGCATGACAGTTAGGCTTATTTGTAACTGTATTCCAAAGAGAACAGTGTAAAGTACAATCCCTTTCACTTTTAGCAACAAAACATGGTTCATGATTTTTTTTTTACCTCTTTTTGATAAACTACCTAATTATAGTGAGTAACTTCTGAACGCAAATTATTTTATTTTTTATTTTTGTACTGATTGTTATGCGGGAATACACTTTACTCCCATCTGTAATAAATTCGTGTCATAACAACTAATAAAAACATGGTTTATCTTGTCTCTATTTTCTGACCATCTTATATTCGCAAGAAGATTACTATTTGGGTTATAACTTATGTTTTTTCTGCATCTTTCTGATTTAATCTGAACAGATAATCTTCTAACCAAAATTTAGCTTTTAATACATATTACACGCTTACTCTTGATCATGTTCATGTAACTACACGAGTTCAGGGATTATAATAAGGCTGTCACGTTTCCTGATGCACCCAAACATAACTTAAAAAGAAACCACCAATAATAGTTTTAATTATGTAAATACCACATCTCCGTATCGTGCAGTGAATATTTTAATCTATATATGGTTCCAGATAACTTGTTTTCACACGTAAGAAATGTTTATAAAGATGACACAATCGATGTTATCTCAAACTTTGTGTACTCAGAACCCGACCACTCCGTATCGTGCAGTGAATATTTTGATCTAGATAACGTTCAAAAACAGATGTAAAAAACCCGATATCACTCGTACTTTATCTAAATTTTATTATTTCTACATGCTTCATCATATATTATAAAATTTGACCAAGAAATCTTTTGCACATTTTTATACATCCTTTTCAAGAAGACTTTCATTCTCCAAGCCCAATACTTTCGAGGAGTATAGTAATTCTTAGAGACTAGTGAATCAGTATGAACCGTTGTAATATTGTCAAGGAATACAACATTTTCACTTTGTCTCTTTTCTGTTAACAAACTTCATTGATAATAAAAGGAGACTTTTAAGTATCAAATATCAAATCCTAAAAAAATGAACTTCCTCCTGTGGCAAACCGACATACCCGTTATTCTAAGTTTCAAACCCACTTTGAAACTTTCACTTCATTTCATATGTCATTAATAGAGTATTAATATTAGATATTATCACATACATCTCACTACATGGCTATATGAACATTATATCATTTTAAGCTTGTCCATTCCACTTCAAATATCCCAGCTATGTTTTGGTTCCAATGTTTTGACTAAGGAAAGCCTTTATTTATGAGTTTGTTTACTCTATTATTTTTCTTGTTCCATGTTTCCAAGTTCCGTTCTTTTACGTTTAAGGTTTCTTTATGAGAACCAGGTTCTTTAGTGGCAACGGTTCGTGTGAGAAAAAACCCATTATGTTATTTGTTCTCCTCCCTTTTTCCTAAAGGGCATCTTACTTTATTAAAGGTTGTTACATTGCCTCCCTTTTTATTTTTTAATTTGGGTAGCGTCAACATTGGGAGGCGATATATACCATGTAACCCTTAAAGTAAAAATACGTGTTTTTACAATATCAAATTTAGGCTCTTTTTTACATTGTGTTGTTTTAAAATAAGGGTTGTCACATCTTAACGGTCAATGTATTTGTATTTTGTAAAGTGGATAATAAAACAAAGGGGCGTGTGAACAATATCACCCTTAATGAAAACAGAATTACAATAAATGGTGAGGGTGTACCCCATACTGTTCTTTTTTTTACATTAAGTGGTAAGGCATACCCTAAATGTACTATTTTGCATTAAGCTGTAAGACACACCCTAATGTACTTTAAATTATCGCATGTACACAAAGTACTTTTTAGACTAGGTCAACATAGCTAAACGGATAAATTATCACACAGACAGAGAGTGATAAACTCATTATCTTGATATCAGACATGACAATATTGTTTTGTCTAGGCAAATTGTATACAATAATGTCAGTATATAGTAAACGGTTACCATGGTGAGGGTCACAACAGTTACTGTTTAAGTTAAAATCCTAAAATTGTATTTTCCGAAATATCATTTGAATAGTTTCCTTTACTGGTAAACTTAGTGTGTATTTTTCAACATGTTTTCTGTAGTGTGATTGTTTTTGAGCTGTTTTGTTTGTTTATTTGTTGGTTTATTTGTTGGTTTATTTGTTTGTTTGTTCGGTGTTTCTTTTCTTTTTTTTTTTTTGGGGGGGGGGGGGGGGGGGGGATATCTGTAGGTTTTGTATCCTATTTTCTTTAAATGAATTTCATCTCCCAGGACCAGGACGGTGTGTAGCCGATCTGATAGTTGTAGCCCCTTTTGTACAGCTTAAAATCTTTGGGGTTTTTTCCCCGTCTGTCTGCACCTTTGTCGAATTCGTTTCCAGTAACTGGCTGGGGTTCTCACATATGTTAAAAACAGTTATGATGTTCTTTGCTAGATGCATTAGCAGTTGTTGAAGTAAATATTTTTGTCGATTCGCCTAAGTAGAATATTTGTTTGGATTCTTGAACATCATCTTGTCTATGCTGCCGGATATTTTTGCCGATACTTTTCAATTCATGCCAAAGATAGAATGGCAAAACACCAAGTTGTCTGTAACATAAATTGCTCATTTATTGACAAGTAAATCAATACTAAAAAGATAATCAGAACGAGAGCATCAAATATAAAATATAAAAGCATAAACTCTACTGAAAATATTTTGTAAAGTAATGGGCTTTTTCCAAATGTATAATTGTAAAATCATATTTATATGATAACATGCGTCGTCTGAGTGTGTACGTTTAACCCAGATGACGACCGGTCAAGGACGCATAACGTACACAACATGTAAACAGGTAGGCATAGCTGATAGCAAAACGCTGTATTCCTATATAGATATCCATTCAAAAGGTCGTCAACGTGACAGGTCATAGAGTATGCCTGTTCACATTTATAAGGTCGTCAACGTGACAGGTCATAGAGTATGCCTGTTCATATTTAAAAGGTCGTCAGCGTGACAGGTCATAGAGTATTCCTGTTCACATTTATAAGAGCGTCAACGTGACAGGTCATAGAGTATGCCTGTTCACATTTATAAGGTCGTCAACGTGACAGGTCATAGAGTATGCCTGTTCACATTTAAAAGGTCGTCAGCGTGACAGGTCATAGATTATGCCTGTTCACATTTAAAAGGTCGTCAACGTGACAGGTCATAGATTATGCCTGATCACATTTAAAAGGTCGTCAACATAACAGGTCATAGAGTATGCCTGTTCACATTAAAAAGGTCGTCAACGTGACAGGTCATATAGCATGCCTGTTCACATTTAAAAGGTCGTCAACGTGACAGGTCATAGAGTATGCCTGTTCACATTTAAAAGGTCGTCAACGTGACAGGTCATATAGCATGCCTGTTCACATTAAAAAGGTCGTCAACGTGACAGGTCATAGAGTATGCCTGTTCACATTTAAAATGTCGTCAGCGTGACAGGTCATATATCATGCCTGTTTAAATTTAAAAGGTCGTCAACGTGACAGGTCATAGAGTATGCCTGTTCACATTTAAAAGCTGACTTGATCGGAATGAACACATGACATACCGATATGTACAAAACTTAAATAAACAGGGTGGTTTACTCTATCTAGACATAAGCTAAAATGAATAACACTGAATTAGTTTATAAATATGTTGCTGCTTCTGTTATTATATAAGTTTAAAACTGAGGCACTCTGTTATGAATTTTGTGGTTCTGTGAACATAGAAATGCCGAAAAGATGCGGAAATCATCTTTAGCAAAAAAATCATCATTTTGCATTAATCATAAAACCATTTAACTTTATCTCTGTTCACCAATTTCCATATTCACTTCACTCACTTCAAATGTATTAAGTCGTGACACGCACTACACAGAATAAAGAATATAATCATGATTATATGCGTCTGATCACTATGAATAGTCGTTGTCTGTCCTACACACAGTGTTTATGTATATTGCGTCATTAATTTTATAACAAAGTTTATAATGTTATTTTGTATATCTTCGGGAATTATTTGTGAGGACTTTTTCTAACTTTTATATCCTGGTGTCATCATTGTATGGATACAAACGATATAGCATAATGGAAAGGGTAAAGCTGCATATGTGCACATGTATTGTGATTTTAAAAAAAATGTTGAAAATAAATAAGTTTTAGTGTCGATATTCTCAATTAGTAGAAAGTCATGAAATAGTCTTTAAAATAAGATAGTTCTAGCAAAGTACTAGTTAGTTATTTTATGGAATGAATACCCGCGATTCTGGTTTCTAAACCACACACAAGCAATTATCTAAAATATAACTTACATATGTACTGTTTTATATCCTTTTTTACGGACTTTCTGTGCCAAAGTGCCACGGCTGCCTGATGCATGTACCCCAAAACAATCTATTGGCTTTTCCAGGAAAACAAAATGTTTTAGTTATTTATTACTGCTTTGTATCATAATAAAAGTGATTCTACTTTTATTTCATTCCTCCATCACCAATTATACACGTTCATCAATTTCTTTTTATATATGCATGATATCTCTACATTTCTTTGGGAGTGTAAATTTATGTTACATTTCCGTTATACAGCATTGTAGCAATCGAGGTATGTCTGTATAACATTACTTCGTTAAAAGCATTCCTTCTCTGGAATTAAGGCACCATTAAATAACTGATATACATTTTTTTTAATTCATCACAGGAGAAAATCACTTGGAACTATATTTTTGGATGAAAAAAAGTTCATCAAAAATATGTAAAATTGAATTAGAATAATTAAGACAAAAATAACCATAAAAGATTCGATAAATTAATAAGTTTAATAAAAGACAAGGAAATAATAATAAGGAAGAAAAACAAAATAAGAAGCTTTAGGATTAATTTAGTCCTTGATGTATGTGTGTTTGAATAGGAAAACAAAAAGATCGTTATCTGCATACTAGCATCCGCCTGCTAATCTGCTACTTAACTTTCATTACGTTTGCCCTGATACCGCCTTTAAAAAATTTCGGTAAATACAAAAATGTCTCCTACGATGCATTATATTAATAACTATACTATTATTGTTCAGCAATAACGAATTTTACAAACTGAATTTTGCATATATATTATTCACCAACGATGATTTTCTCCTGTTCTAAGAAAATATATGACTATGTTTTCTAAAGCTCTTTTATCTAGAGAAGTGTGAGCACCGTGATGCTCCATGCCCACCCGGATATCAACCGTGTGGCCTCACCATCGCCTAACGGATACCAGACGTCACTTCCGGTATTTCTTATCTGGAGTTTGTATACATAATAGAAACGCAATACAAATTTGTTTAATGCATTCATATTCCTGCTTTATTTATCTAAGCATTGGTAAAATACCCATAGGTGTCGTCATCTTACTGGTAGGGGTTTTCATTAAGTATTTAATGTGGAGTAATTGTATAGTCGTGTAAAGTAATTTTGACGAGATCTTGTAGCTTTATTATATAGCTTTTCAAATTAACCTGTGCGACAATTTCGTGTACTTTTTAACGTTTAAGTACATCTGTTTTGTTTTATAATAAATATTTATCAAAAATTCTAATAAGAAATATTTGCCTTTCTCCAACTTATTCTTAAAGCTACATATCTTCGAAAAATCATTAAATTGTAATATTATGTTTCGGATCTTTTTGATCTCAAGCCATTTTTTAATCATTTTCGTGAAAATGGCATGTACTTGATGGTATCCCTATTTGCTTAAATATAAAACTGTATGAAAAAATCTGCTTCGATTTCAGAGTCATGCATAATTCCAATATTTGATTGTATAGATATATGTTTCCTTCATCTGTAACATTTAATTATGGAGCAAGTTTTGTTTTTAGGAGTCGGATTTTTCATTTTTTTCCATCTTACATTTATTATGTTCATTGTACATCAAGCATTATAGAAAATCGATATAAAAATACATGTGCATGATTTTCAATATTTTATTAACAAGATGATAGCCCCAACAATTTTAGTATGACACTCATGATTATTTTTTGAAGTATAATTGCGTAGTCCCAAGGATCAATTACTACTTTATATAAGAATTTTAAATATATAACGAATTACAGATTGCTAATACTACTTTTTATCTTGGAAACATACCAACGTTTTATACATATTTGTATTGTAATGATACTTTATTTGGTAATAATAAGTTTTTGCAAAGAAGACCAATTGTAAAAAAAATCATTCATTTTTAATGTTAAATTCATGCAGAATAATAAAAAGCAGTCACTTCCGATGACATTTGCCTGTACAGGTTTCCTTATCTTTAACTGTGTGTTCATGTCAACTGTTCTGTTCTAATTGCAGACTGGAATGCCACAACCTATGAAGGCAGCCTTCCATTGACCTTTGATGAATGGACAAACATACTGCCGATGACCTTGCATTACCTATGCCCTCAAGCTGTATCCATAATTGGGATTGGCGCTGTGTCTGCAGCTGTTATGTCTTCCGCCGACTCATGCGTTCTCGCTAGTGGAACAATCTTCGCCAGCAACATATACAGGAATATTTTTAGACCTAACGTATGCCATTTCGATTACTGTATCACGTTAAAAACATCAGCAATCAGCGCATTCTGTAACTGTCTTACCATGCCTGTAAATGTCGAGAGGGGATGCGTTTAAGATCGTTCAGCAAATAAACATCACTAATGTTTTTATTTTATTCTATAATATTGGTTACTATTTTTAAATCAGTTGGCCGAATTCTATAACGTGGTGATTGACTTACGGTTAGCTATCAGTCCCCGTGATAGACCGTAACCTTGCAGCTGAAATATGTTTTATAGTTTTTGCTGCCAAAATGTTGTAAAGGATTTTGTTGAGCGCTTTTCCCTTTTCACTCTGCTTCTTTAAATTTTTCGAAAAACTTTCGACACAGATGAAATGTTTAACCATTTTGCCACCGATGTGACTTAAATGGAGGAAATTATCATATGTTGCTGTAAATAGTAACTAATATGTGCTTCCCGACAATTTATTTCTTTTGCGTATTTTCCAAGTCATTAAGACATCTCTATATTTCTTTCAGGCACCACAAAGAGAGATTGTATGGGTGCTGCGCTTGTCCATCGTGTTGGTAGGAGCGCTAGGTGCCATCATAGCTCTGACAGTAGGGACTGTGTACGGACTCTTCATTCTCTGTGGGGATCTTATGTTTGTCGTCCAGTTTCCACAGCTCATCTGCGTTCTTTGGGTCAGTTTTGCAAACTCATATGGGAGCCTGGCTGGATTCCTCATCGCTATGTTCCTACGATTTACTGGAGGAGAACCCTACTTGTCCATACCTCCCCTCATTAGATATCCATACTACGACGAAAAACACGGTCAAATGTTTCCCTTCAAGACTATGGCCATGTGTATCTCATTTGCTATTATCATAGGAGTGTCGTACCTGACTAACAGACTTTTTAGAAATGGAACAATCTCCGAGAAATTTGATATACTCCAATGCTTCACAGAAAAGGAATATACAATGGATGAATCAAAAGAAAATGGAGATAACCTGCAAAGCTGTGTAGAACCCTCAGCTAATGATGAACTTCTAGAGAAGAAAACAACTACATTCATATAGCTGTCGAGATCAACCATGGTCAATGACTGAATATTTAACATTTATATATGGTATATATGTGTTTAATTTTCAGTACATTTACAAAAAAGTGAAGAAACTAAGAAACGTTGACAGCTGGAAATCGTGAACGCTTTCAAGTTTATCTTCATATGTTTACATAGTTACAAGAGGGATGTCATTACTAACAAAACACTAGATTATGTGTAAGCTTGACGTCATCAAGCATGCTATCTTTGGTGACATCATAATAATATATAGGGGATAATAATTAAGACAATAAACATTTTAAGACGACATTTTCTTTTTTGATGCTTTTACAGTATACTTTATATTTTTCTCCCTTGTTTTTTTCCGCTTTGATTCTTGATTAGTTTGCATTTAGCTCATGTTCACTTTGATGTGATTTTTGAGAATTCTTTGTTCAGCTGTTCTTATTTACTAATTTGTGCATTATTCTGGCATTGTGGACAAATCTATCTAAGGTAATTTCTAATGCATAGAAAAACGATTTCGAACAAGTATGAAAAATTGAATGAAGAATAAAGCAATCTTTCGAACAAATGAGTGTTATTCACACAACGAATCTACTATATTCAATGACAATGTTACTGACATTTAACAGTATATATATACCTATATGTTTGTTGTTTTAAGCTCGTATGCAATACTGACTTGTCCATATGGACTCGTTTTACGCGAAATGTATTATATTAGCTAATTATACTCATAGCTTATAGCTAGCATAATTAACAAACATTGTATTTCATTGTGAATATTGTTTAATCCGCGTATTTCATTGTAAACATTGTATAATGTATGTTATACATGGTAAACATTGCATAATCTTTGATTTACATTGTTAACATTGTATAGTGTATGTTTTACATGGTAAACATTGTATAATCTTTGTTTTACATGGTAAACATTGTATAATCTTTGTTTTACATTGTTAACATTGTATAATGTATGTTTTACATGGAAAGCATTGTATAATTTTTGATTTACTTTGTAAACATTGTATAATGTATGTTTTACATTGTAAATATTGTATAATGTTTGTTTTACATTGTAATCATTGTATAATGTATGTTTCACATTGTTAACATTGTATAATGTATGTTTTACATTGTTAACATTGTATAATGTATGTTTTACATTGTAAACATTGTATAATCTTTGTTTTACATTGTTAACATCGTATAATCTTTGTTTTACATTGTTAACATTGTATAATCTTCTTTTTACATTGTTAACATCGTATAATCTTTGTTTTACATTGTTAACATTGTATATGTATGTTTTACATTGTAAACATTGTATAATCTTTGTTTTACATTGTTAACATCGTATAATATTTGTTTTACATTGTTAACATCGTATAATATATGTTTTACATTGTAAACATTGTATAATCTTTGTTTTACATTGTTAACATTGTATAATCTTTGTTTTACATTGTTAACATCGTATAATATATGTTTTACATTGTAAACATTGTATAATCTTTGTTTTACATTGTTAACATTGTATAATCTTTGTTTTACATTGTTAACATCGTATAATATATGTTTTACATTGTAAACATTGTATAATCTTTGTTTTACATTGTTAACATTGTATAATGTATGTTTTACATTGTAAACATTGTATAATCTTCTTTTTACATTGTTAACATTGTATAATGTATGTTTTACATTGTTAACATTGTATAATGTCTGTTTTACATGGTAAGCATTGTATAATCTTTGATTTTTCTTTGTAAACATTGTATAATGTATGTTTTACATTGTAAATATTGTATAATGTTTGTTTTACATTGTAAACATTGTATAATGTTTGTTTTACATTGTAAACATTGTCTAATCTTTGTTTTACATTGTAAACATTGTATAATGTATGTTTTACATTGTAAATATTGTATAATGTTTGTTTTACATTGTAAACATTGTATAATGTATGTTTAACATTGTTAACATTGTATAATGTTTGTTTTACATTGTAAACATTGTATAATCTTTGTTTTACATTGTAAACATTGTCTAATCTTTGTTTTACATTTTTAACATTGTATAATGTATGTTTTACATTGTAAACATTGTATAATCTTTGTTTTACATTGTTAACATTGTATAATGTATGTTTTACATTGTTAACATTGTATAATGTCTGTTTTACATTGTTAACATCGTATAATATATGTTTTACATTGTAAACATTGTATAATCTTCGTTTTACATTGTTACCATTGTATAATGTATGTTTTACATGGTAAACATTGTATTATGTATGTTTTACATTGTAAACATCGTATAATCTTCGTTTTACATTGTTAACATTGTATAATGTATGTTTTACATTGTTAACATTGTATAATGTATGTTTTACATGGTAAACATTGTATACTCTTTGATTTACTTTGTACACATTGTATGATTTATGTATTTATCTGTTCATACTATAATTGTGAATGTACAACTTACATTAGTTGACATACAAACAATTCTAAATGTTCTAAGTCAACTGCATATGTACCAACATCTCAGATGAAACTTAAACGTCTATTTTGGACATCATATGGAATGTAATTAAATTTACTAACTAAACACGTCTGAATAGTTATTACTTATCGGGTGAAATTACACTGCAAATCACACGTTATGACACAATGGTTCCCACTGGTGTCACAACTGAATTAGAACGAGGTCCCAGTTTCAAAACTGAATAACAGGTATTTTTCTCAAACGGTCATCTGAAATTCAAAAAAACTGCGAATTCGATGGTCTTTGGGAAATTGATCAAGTAAAAAAGAGTTACGCCCCTTATGCTGATTGAAATCGTGGTATTCATACGAAACGGAATTGAAATAAGTGTAAATATCCCTGAATATGAATTTGATTTTTAAAAGTATTTATCTCAGCATTTGCCATTTGCCATATTAAATTAGGTTGATTTCCGTATTTTTTTGAAGTCTGGTTGCCGTAATATACACAATATTTCTTAGGTAAATGACAACTTAAACAAATCCATTCTCTCACCCGAGGATTAGTCCTAGGATAAACACCAGTCTAGGTTCTGTTGAAGATCTGGACGTTGTGCTTCTTGTTTTATTGTGAAGTGCAGTTGTTCTATTAGAATGCATGACTGGAGTCAATTGCAGGATATGGAATAGACCAAATCATGCAATTACTATATTCTGTTTGAAGGGACAATGAGTTTGGTCCAGTGTTGGAGGAAGTATGTTGGATCACTACTTGCATGTTAAGGACTACAATGCCCGTTTGGTTCCAAGAACATTGTCAATAGTTATGGAGCAGTTTGAGCAGACACAACATTAGAGCTGTATACAAAGACTTAACTTTTTAACTAAGACTGAAACTGCTGTCAAATGTCAATTACCTAGCGGGAAAATGCAGAATACAAACTATCAGGGATTCAAAAAATGTCTATAGGACAAGTAAATCATATAAGAACACCGCCTGCTGGCTCTAAAATGATAAAAAGAAAAAAAAGAAAAAAGGCCAAGAGGTAACATTTGTTGTTAGCATGGAATTCAACACTAATCTACAGCTGGAAGTGTGGCTTATTGGCATTATCTATAGGATAACCTCGTTTATTGATAAAGAATTTTCCTGCCGTTGTTCAAATCACTGGTCTGGCCTATAGTTGAGTGTAAGGTTACGGTGTGTAGGACAATAATGTAGAAGGACACCAATGAGATAGGAAAAACAAAGTATGAAAACTAAGGTAGTGGATTGGCTAGAATAAATGTGACTCGAGCTTGGCCTTCCGACTCTTAATTACCGTGGTGATCATGACATGATGCAATTACAACGAATACTGATGAAAACTGACCATACAAGTTTAGAAGACATGTTACTGTGACAAAACGATTAAGGACGAGAGGACACACGAAGAAGCTAGTGAAACAGCATCCCGGACATCCTGGACTGTAGGGTAAATCAATCCCAACCTGTGTAAATATCCAGAAAGTGTTTTGAGGGCAAGAGTATGTAAACAATGAATTCAAATTTACAATCAATACCCAAAGGCTGAATGTTGGATTTTATGGCTTATATGGAAAAGATACTATGTATATATATATGTATACATACATGTTTATGCTTAAAGAAGACCGAACTCGGCTAAACAGCATCTAAACGATCAAAGGGAGGGAAATCTATCAACATCAATAATATTAACAAATCATTCAAATTTTCAGGTTGAAAAACAAACAGTTTAAGATAATAATACCTTATAGGCCAAAACTTACCGAAACAAAAAATTAACAAAATAAAGAGGTATTACTTTCTTCAAAATTTGAAAACTTGTTCAAAACAAAAACAAATCAAAATAATCCAGCCAGCCTTTACTCTGCGGCATTTGTCTAATGAAGAAGGTAGAAGTACCCTACACATCATTAAGTACCGTAGATGTTTAGGAAAACAAAGGGATTCTATGAGACGACATAACAGACGACATAGGACCTTTATGTAAATGTTAAATGTATTTGATAATTTTGTACAATTTATTTAAGACAGGCAGATTACATGCCACATCGTCATTTTGTTGACATGAAGTATGTTATCAAAATGTGCAACCTTCATAATACGACACAGGTTCATGGTGTGTGTAATCAAATATTGCGATTTTAAATCGACCTGAATTACCTTCCATTTTCGTAACAGACAGCTGGTCTACCACTTGGGTTTGAGCTGTCAAATGAAGGTGACAAGGTGACCAGCTGTATAAACTCGTTCCGGGTCATGAGTAAATGGAGTGAATTGTCACCTTACTTCTAAACGCCTTTAGAAACTTAAACCCATTCTAGTGGCTTATATTTTAGATTTATTTTGGCAATGTGGGTATCATCTAATTGGGGCAAGCTAATGTGGCAGGTATGTCCTGCAAAGAGTACCATAACTCACAAAAGTTATGTCGGTCCTAAACTTGGCTTAGACATGACTTGATCCAATGTATTACAATTTACGTCCCGAAAAGGACGATATTCGGACTTGCAAGGAAATCATGTGTGGGGTCAACTAATGTCATTTATCCCTTTTTTAAATTAAACTAATACATATCTTCCTGCTGACACTTCAGTAATAGTGTGTATGGCGTCAACAATTACGGCGTGGTATCAATATCCCTTCGTTACGTCACGGATCACACATACTCGCGCGAATACTGTTTACAGTGACGTCGTTAACTTGCTCTGCACCTTCCAACTGTAAGCGAGATGCTGCCTTATTTCGCTGCATCTGGACATAACCTATACGCCAAATCAGCTTATGTCTACCTAACAGCGATGCAAGATCTTGACAAAAATCATCCATCATTGCATTCCAAGTTCCAGGACGGCTATCATGTCATCAGAAGAAGTGCCCGTTACTTGGCAGGACTTTCGTCTGATCTCGTTATCGAGCAAGTCCTTATGAGAAGTGTCAAGACGTCTGGTGGTATGACTAGAGGCAGAGACATGAGTGAATCTCAACGGGCAAAGTGGCTACTTTCAATG